AATATATGACTTTCATATATTCTTAACCATCTAAGCAAGTATGTCGTTTTTTTTTTTTAATGAAGAGAATAAGATTACACTACTTCAATGGAAGCAAAATGCATATCTACACGTTTTTAAGGTGACAAAGTTACAGCATTTTAAGTCACTAAGAGTAAAGACCGCGGAAACTTACCATCGTAAAATGACGGTATTAGAACAACATCGCGTTCGTTTTTCCAAATGGACAGGTTTGTTCTAGAGGTGTCAGGAAGTACAAAGTGTGTTACACTCTGTTTTGCTGTGGTTTTTAAAGCAACAACTTGTACAACTGAAGTGAAAAAGACATGATAAAGTTAGACGAAGACAGCGGAAGAGCTGTTTCGGTGGTGAATAAAAGTGGGACTTTATAGGTATCAGACTCAGACTGTTGTGGAAAGGCGAATTTCTTCTGTTTTGAAACAAACATGTTAATTTCTTCAAGAGGCACGGCACAGTTTTATTTCATTTCATTAATGCTAAAGATAGCAAATCTCAAACTAAGGGATACGCTTAAATAGTTATTTCTAGAGGCCACGATTGACTGATTTTCGTAATTACTTACCAGTCCTTTGGGAGTAATACTCGAATTTGAAGAGTTCATTGACCGAGGAGATTCTTCCTAACGCTAACGTAATGTTCTCCAATGCGCTCAAGACTTTTGGTAGCTACAGAATAGCAGAAAAAAAGCGGGTTAACATTATGGTAACAAGGTGTAACTCATCTTCCGTGTGGACCCATGTCATGATTTAAATGAAGCATCCCAGTTTGATGAAGGTTCGTTTACAAAGCGCAATGTTTTTCGTGCAGTTCAAGGTTTTAACTTCACAATTGAATTTCGTGTAATCTTACACCGTCAAGGTTATCTCTGAAGCCTCAAATTTTCTAAAAACTGAACTTAATTTGACGTAAACTGCACTTTTGTTAAGAGGATCGACGTTCATGAATCATAAGCAGATCCCAGGAGGTTCGTCTCTAGCGATCACAGTGGCGGTATTTGCAGAGGCACAACTAAGAGGGATTAAACAACTTAACCTACAAAACCTCTTTTGTAGCGCTCCACACGTTTTCGTTTCTCCCATCAAAGCTGGATTCTGCCGTTGTTATCAGCGAGGCAACAACGCTCTAAATAGATAAATTGACAATTTATCGGTAGTTACAAATTAAGTAGAATTACGATTGACAGCGTATTTATGAAAGGAAACCTCCCAATGGCAGAACAAACTACCATTAGTATGATGGAGATTTCTTGTACTTTGAAGATTTCTGGGAAAATTGGGAAATAAGAACCGAAATATATTTAAGTTGTGAACAAATACTTGCAGTATCAATGCTTGTGTTTCTTAGAAGGCGCCATTTTGGCTCGTACGACGTTATACAGTTGCCACTATTACCATCAAGAAATAGCAACATAACAATTTTCTCTAACAATGGAAGTTTCCTTTAAGTTTTATTTAGATCTTTTCGGGAAAAATCTTGTTGAAAATTTTACATATAAATTTTAATCAAAAAGCCATTGCCTGCCAGCTGTTGCAAATTAGTCAAAAGATGTGCTTCAGAGGACTAGTAACATATTTTTTGTGTTAAGAGAAATAACATAAATCATTATAAGAGAGGCTGTTAACATACTTTCATAATCTCTTGATCTTCGCTTGGGATCATGGAAAGTGCTAAACCAAACTGTTCAAGTATTTTTATGAATATGTCAACATATTGCCCCGTTAACGGCTCCTCTTCCACTAATGTTCGAAGGCGTTGGAGCAGATTGTGAACATCCTCGACCCACGAGTTGTTTTGAAAGCTTCCCATGGATATCTGCAAATGTGGGACTGAAATAACTGTTACAAATTCTAAGTTCATTCATTACCCACGGAAAGACCTACATTTCAAGTGTAACTTACTTCAAGTTGATTATCAAAGATGGGATGCAATATTGATCTAAACAAACTTGACTTATGACGCGTAAACTTCGATACTACTGCTTTCCAGCAAACCATATTTATAATGAGCACATCATTTGTTTGACTGGATTATAAGGATTTTTCATTAAAACAAAGGTCTTTGGGAGCTATTCGGTGCAAAATTGTAATTATCTAAAAACCATTTGGTTTCCACAACTTTGTAGTCGGCGGAAGAGCAAGGGGCGACAGGGAGCTGTGGTCCTCCCCTTACGAAATTTCGAAGGGGAAGAGTATAGCCCCGTAAGTTTCGGTGTGCAGAATACTGGTAACGTAGCATCAAAATAGCCCTGTAGCATGTTTAGTTTCGTGAGCTTTTTACAAATCTTCTCGTGTGGGTCGCACTTGCTGAAATGTTGTTTTGTTGGACTCATTTTTTGGAATAACTGCCAATCTAAGCATCGAAACAGTTGCGGTTACATTAAACACAGTTAGCTAAGGTTTTGTGTCATTATATTTTACATTACCGTTAGGGATTCCGTACTCTTGAGCAGGGCTTCCCATTTTCTTGTCACTGTGAAATCAGCGAGAGGAACGGAGGGTGCAGGGACTGCATCTGCGACAGACAAACAAATAATGTGTCCACTCATTACACGGTTGACATTGTCGCCAAATCTCCCATAATTATCTCTAAGAGATTACCGAGCATGAACCTTAAAAGGATCCAAATACTTACCAGTTGACAGGGTTGCAGTAAGTGGTTTGAAGTTTGTTGAGCACTGAATACGTTTGGTAGAAGAAATACCGTTACGAGAAAAAGATGTCCTAACACCTGGAGACGAAGTGCGCATTCCACTTTGCCGTTTAGATATGTTTTTGATAGAGGCAGTTATTGATGACTCTCTTCTCGCAAGGAGGGAAGAGGTAGCAATAATAGGATTGTCAGTTGTGGTTATTTTGACTGAAGGCCGGGTTTTTCTAGGAACATAATTGGAACAGGGTATCGAGGATGAAGGCAAAAGTGTTTGAGTAGTTGTGTTAGTCCAAGTGAATCCTGCAGGATCAACAGGAAAGACTGGGATATTTTTCCACGATATTCTGAGATTGCACGAGTAATCTGCCGAGGAAAAAAATTCCGCATATATAAATCAATTGTGTATGATATAAAGGCATCCGCAAATAAACATCGACGATTAAGAAAGGATTGATCATCGTGTGTGCTTCCAGGAGAATGTAAAAGTCGTAAATGTTGTTTTTAAAAAAGGGATTTGAAGAAATTCAGGTACGTCACAATTTTAAGCTAAGTAAAGATTCTGTACAATTGATGACCTCAATAATCGATTTCAACATACCTCGTATGGTCAAGAATCCTGGAGATGCTGTTGTTTGGTTGGAGCAACCTGTGGAATTCCCTGGCATAAGTAATATAGAACCAGTTGATATGAAAACCTTGTTGGCCAAGATATCCACAATGCCTCCTCCACCTCCGGCAGACCCCTTTTCCCAAACTGGGTAAATGTTACCATTTTTTCCCGCATGAGCACCATTTACCTCCAATGAACCACCATCAATGATGTGAACCTGATTTGATAAAGATTTATGTTTAGCGGTTTTTATCACGTAAGGCATGCTATGAAGAAGGAGTGACAGGGGGGGCGAAAACTAATCGTACCTCGTTAGCCTCTAAGCGGATTAGTCCTCCTGAACTTCCACTGTTAACTTCGTAGTGCCCTTTTGTTTGCTGTGCATTGGCTTTAATCTTTTCTTCTGTGAAAGGTGAATTGCTAAAGACTTTAAAATTTCCCCAGCGGGGTTTCTATCAATTTAGAATACACTCGAATATTTGTTAGTCGCATGAATTTCTTTGGTCTTCTTTGCCTGTTTTCTCCAGATTTAAAGGAAAAGTTTATGTCAGAGAAGACGAATTGTTGGCAGACAGGGGTTTTAACTCATATAACTGGCTTAATTGGGCTCTCCAATGTAAAATTTAGTACAAGCTTATTCCAAAGATAGTCGTTGAAGCTGTGACTTACTCCTCGAGATAAATCGGTTTCCAGAGCCCACATCGTGGTAAACAGATTGGAGTCTTTGTTAAGAACCAAAATGGAATCAGCTTAACTTTTTTGCAAGTATTACGTACCGATTTTTATAGAACCCTGCTTCGCTACCAACTGTAATGCTCCCCCTCCATGTCCAGGTTTAGTAATTGTGTGAGCAGAAGAATCAAGATAAGAGCCTGTAACAAAGAATAATTAATCGCAACTAAACTACCTTACCTGTACTTAATAATTACAGACTATCTTTTCTTTCGTCGTTAGTTTCTTCTCCTTCTTTGATAGAAGGTTTAGCCACTGTGTTCCAACCTTACGGCAACGAATTTAACGTTCTAACCATGAGATTAAAATTGGACAGAAACCGCTTGTCGAATCAATAAGATCAACCTTTTTTAATTGATTTTTCTAAATGTTAAATAAGAACCGTCGTTCTTTAAAGAGAATTCATTTTTTCATACAAAATACACAGATTTCTTGAAATTTACGAGCTTAAGTTCCACATTTACCGGAACTGCCTCCCAGTAGGAGTTGGTAATCATTCCTTCCATACTCTAAGCCACTGTAGAGGTTAACGTGAATGTCATCAAATACTGGATTTCCTCCATGGCCACCATGTCCACTTCCACCGATGCATCGTGGTGACTGGTAAGTTAAATATTCTCTGCTCGTACTCCCTGGTCCATTTCCTTTAACCCAGAGGGGCAAATGAAACGGATTAACTTCGATCAATTATACTTCATACTTTGTACCACAAGCTCTCACACACCGTTTAATTCTAATGATGACTTTCACACGGTTTTCAAAACGTTAGTCATAGTCATGAAACCACGCACCTTTCTAGGACTAACCTTTCCGCATGAACACAGTGACATACTTATTCTTCTGGGACAGAAGAACAATTTACTGTTTCAAAAATCACTTCAAGTGTAAATAATCACGTACCAAAAGATACTCCTACATATGTTAGCTGGGTATATAGAAAGGAGAGAAAATGCGGTAAGCAAAGATTTTCAGATTATGAGAGCACTAAAGAATTGGTCTTCCAAAGCAATCTGAATTGCAGTTTTCACCCATTGCTAGGTTCTGTAATTGATCCAAAAATCTACCGTACGTATTTAACCCTGCTAACTGATCATATGCAAGTTGCTCTGATTTTCCAAAACCCACAATCCATACTTTGGTTTTGGTTTTCCGCAACTGAAGGGAAAGTGCTGGCTGGTGTGTAAGTCAACAGACTTTATAAGCCTACCTGGTATTATAGCTGATGACCAATTTCTAGGTTTATCAATGGGCATATATCCTCCAACACACTTCCCACCCAGCACAGTCACTGTGCAAGATAAATCGATCAAACTTCCAATAACGATATCTCCTTCCAGAGACTCGATAGACAGTGAATGTTCCCCAAACACCTTAACAGTAGAGCAGGCTTCTATTCTGATGTTTTTGGAAAACACTATTCGGGCAACGCTGTAATTCCATCCAGGTGAATTGACAAAATTCCCTTTAAAAGAGAAGGTTTTTTTGGAAGTTATTTTTAAGATTTTTTTGTTCCCTTGGCTGTCTACCACAAGAGCGGAAGGCTCTGTAGTGTTGATTTCAAGCGTTTCTCCTGGGGCCAAGGTAAGCTGGTCATCTGCAAAGGAAGAAAGTGAAATTGGGCGTTTTTAACTGAACGAGTATCTTGTGAAAAATTAATTTAATGGCACTTTATATATATATACTATATATACTATATATAGCTCTTTGGCATACAAAGCTTTGCTTTCATGTCCAAATTGAGCACTCTACTAGGATGAGTCATTGCTGCTAGCATTATGCATGCTCACTAGTTTTTCTAGTTTGAGCACTCTGGCATGGCTTAGATGATCCCACATATGTGAGATCACTTGGGGTGGCTATATGGTCTTACCTCCATCCTAGCATCAGCACTGCACTGATGAGGCCCAGAAGGCCGAAACAGTACTGTCTGCAGTTAGTTATATATATATATATATATATATATATATATATATATATATATATATATATATATATATATATATATATATATATATACACCCGTTTTCAAAAACGTTAAATATATAGACCTTTTCTTATCTCATCAAAAAGAGACACTTTTTGACAAGAAAACGAAAGATGTACATATATTTTATATGTATTTTCAATGTTGCAACGTTTTTGAAAACGGGTGTATATATATATTTAGAGGATACCAAACACGAGGCTTAACGTTTGCTTCGAGCCATGCACGCAGAATACTATCGCTTCTCAGTCTGACCGACGACATATAACTTTGCTCCTACGCGTCATTTACATTTAGTAAACAATTACTTGGCTGTTCAATAGCTTAACATTGCATTTTCGCTTAGTGTATTTGGTTTTCCGCTATTTAGGAAATAGACTATGCTAAACCATGATGCGATTAGTCATCTCTTTTGGCAAACCTGAGAGGTCTACGTCTGGGTGAAAGCTATCAAGGACTTCTAATAGCCTAGCGTTTTGATATCCTGCATGAACGCAATAGTTTTTTTTGATTCCTGAAAGGTTTGATGGTTAGTTCAAGAGGAAGAGAGCCTTTTGCAAAGAAATGTCTTTTTAACGCCGTACCATCAGAAAGATCTAACCATATATGTCAAAAAGTTCTTTCTTAAACGTTTTTACAACTTTTTAAAGTTGATTAAGCCTCAGCCAAACAAATATTGGTTACTTCCGCAAAAAGAAATTTTAATTTTTTTTTTCACATTGTAGCTCTACAATAAAGTATTTTAACGACAATCTATCCCTTACGAGGATGACGCATTGGTGCTGAAAAAAAATTGAGTTTTCCCTTGAATTTATTTTTTTCAAGGGATCCTGATCTACGCATATGTCTGTTCTTTTATTTTCGTTTTCCGTCATCAATTATCCACTTTGACATCAGCTAAGGTAAACATTGGAACCCATTTGAAAATTTTCATTAAAAAACATCGTATTCGCACAAAAGAAATGGAAAATTACTCTCTCTTATAAAAAGAGATGAAATGTAAAACTACAATTTCTTCATTTCGTATAAACCTTATGCAAGAGTTTTTAATTTTTGATAAACACAGTAAAACCAGCTTTAACAATAAAGAACTACCGACATCGTGAATTATTTTATATGAAACAGAGATGTTTATTTGAAAACTCTAAGTCACGATGGTGGGAAGATATTTAACAAAAGAACAACTTTCTCTGATTTAAATTTTCTCCACTGGCCCAGCTATTTTCACAACCTTCTAACGCTATACTCTCTGAACTGGAAAACTAGGCAATTTTCTTGAATTCGTATATTAATCAATAGAGCGACTAGGGTGTCGGAAGAAAACCACTTTACTTACTGTTTACCAAGTGCTGCGAGGAAAATTGAACAACCTGTAAGTTACAAACAATAAGCAAAGAAAATAAGAACAAATCAAGCCGTCTTAATGGTAATAAAAATCCTTGCAGTGACTTGACACACCAACTCACGTTCGAAAGGAGAACGACAAATTTCCACATCATGGCCATCAAGAGCGGGTACACTCCTTGGTTTTCCGGCGACTCCGAGGAGACTACATTACGAACCGGATATGAACGAATACTGACCATACGTTTGCACATTCATCACACTAAGTGAGTTTCCCATGACTTCAATACAAACATAGTGCAGGTGAGCCAACACACATCTCTTCTCTAACGTTGCATATGCACAATGAAAAAAATTGGACAAGTTCAGTCCGAAACAATTAGAAGTCAAAATGACCACGACTTCAGTCTCACCGTTTTCTTTAGGAATACTTAAAAAACATTCAGACATCTTCATTTCGCAAGCCTGAATTGTACGCGTACATAATTAAACAGAACAAATTAAATGAAAGCTTTCCACAAAACACTTCCTTTTTTGATGAACTGGTTTACTTTTATCCATTGTACCCTTGTTATTGGAGCTAAGACCTAATCAAAGTCGGTATTAGATGAATAAATTATCTTTAACCAGCTGGCGAAAAAAGTACGTACATGCAGACGAAACAAGACCTTCTGTTTATTATCCTTGGTAAGATTTGCTTGAATGTTTTAAATTTATTTAGGACCTGTAAAGAGAAAGCCACATTTCCTGATCAAAGAAAGACACGGGAAAATTCAAGATATTTAGAATTATAACTTTAATTTTCAAAAAGCAATTTTATGAGACCTGCGAGTTTGATAACGTTTTGCAGATTAGCACTTGGTTTTAGGCCTCAGTGGAAATTCATTTTTTATTTTAGCAAACGCTGATATATTTCCCTTTTACGATCCGTGTTACAACCACTCGCCAAACAGATTAAAGGATGGGCTCATCAGAGAGTAAAAAGTCACACGGAGGTACGAAATACGTTAACTAACTCGTTTTAATCTGCAAGTTGTTTAAATCGATTTTTTGTGTATGGATTGTAAATTTAGTTTTCTGAAAGGTTTATCCTTGTTTAACCAGACTCGGAGATGAATCTAAGAGTTAGATATTTATTTAAAACTTTTCATTTCCCGCGTCGAATTCTCGTAGTAAGATCAGTAAATAAGCCTGATGCGAATCCTTTAAGTCCAGTAAGACTCAATGGTTTGCAACCATGAGAAGGACAATTTTGAAGAATTGCATTCGCGAATGTTGCTTTAGAAGAGAAATTTCATATTTTATTACCACCTGACGACCTTTTCACTCTTTCAAATGGTCCGTTTACTCAGTAAACAACTCGTAAATTACTTTGAGTTCCACAAACAGGCCGCGTGAAATTCTTTACCGATATGGGAGCTGATCTACATTAAATTCAAACAGGACCTTACCTTATTGCCCGGAAAAAAATGCGAATATTCAATTTTTGAGAGTGTTGACGTTTTTTTTCGATATTTCAAAATTTTATTCGCGGACTGCATTACCTTTGTATCTTCTGCTTACTCCTGTACTTTTTCCGAAACTTGGAATTTGGTCAACATCGCGAATGATTCCTAAATTTATTGTTCGCCTGACCTCACTGTTTCTGGACATGAGCTGGTTGCCATTTCAAAATTAGACACAAGTTTTAAAGATGTCAAAGTCTAGACATCTGCTGAATCAAAACTGAAATCAGACAAGAATTAATTTCCCTCTATAGCATGAAAATTTCCCCTTTGGCCACAGTTTCCGCCATTTGATATTTTTTCTGATCCGATCAGAGTTTCTGTTCCAGCAAATTCCGGTTTCAGTTTCGATTTTTAAATGAATTTTGAAAATCAAGTGTCTAGCTTAAGGAGAGCATCTTTTTTTTTCATATTCGTAGCATATCTCTCAATAGAAAATATGTAAGCGTGGAGAGTACTAAACTAAAACGGGAACATGGTCATACAACCAGACGTTGATCGAGCCCCGTTGGCTCCCTGTTACTCGGGGCGCACTGTTTTAAAGATATTTTTATTATTTTTAAGCGCTCATTGAGCTTACAACTATGAATACAACTGACGTGCTGGATAGATATGTAATTTCAAAGTCTACGGAAAGTTTGTTGTTCCAATTTTGAGAATAATAAAAGATCCTTTTTTCCGTCTATGCACTAACACTTTGTGAAGACCTACTTGATCATTTGAGACCTACATTTAAATTCAATTCTATTGAGCGTGAAAGCGATTGAGATGTTCAAGCTTTTGAATGAGCTTCCATCTTATTGTAAGGTTACCCTTTTCACAATACTAACCCTCCTCTCTACTAAATCAGCTCTGACGGGTTCATGACTCCCTTTCTTCCATCTCATGGAGCAGGTCTTGTTCCAAAATTTTACAGCTTTAGATGCATGTATTTTTGTGTTATTGCCCTTGAGGTTTTAAGCGGATTTAAATAAAATTTATTGTTACATCGAATGGTGACCCCCTGCTTCCTCACTGCTTTTTGCAAAGAAAAACTGAAACAAAGTGACATGTCAGAAAAATCTGAATTTCTAATTAACAAAAAGGAAAATTCATTTGATTCTTGTCTTACCCTTAATTGTTCTTGTGTTCTGAAACCGTCAACTGTGAGATATATGTTTCCTTCAAAGCTTTTTCTAACAGTTATTCAAAAACCTAGACTTCCGCTCCACTTTCTCGGAAATGTATTCCGCATACATACCGGTATTTATATTTTGATAGAGAGTTGACCCCTTGGAAAAGACGGGGTCAGAAGCCCTGCCAAAAAATATTCCGGCTGTTGTTGTCTTCAGGGAAGTTTTCGTCGATCCCACGCCATTCCTGGCAAATCATGGCTTTCCCATCTTGGTATATCCTATGATATCTACCTAAATGAATCGAAAGCGTTAAACTGATATTGAATAATAGAGGGTGATACATAGTGAAATTATTTAATTCTTTCTGAAGGGGAAGTCCCTCTATGTTTCTTAGAAACTTGTCATAGTTTTTGGTTTAGGAAGGTGAGTTAAATGTTTCAAATCCATGGATATTCATGGAAGAACGTGAGATCTCAAAATTTTGAACCCCTGTACTGAATTTTTCCAGAGAATAAAGGAGTTATTTTGAGCGATGACAAAATCGAAATTGAAATTATGCCCCAAGGAAAAAAATCCCGTCTTAATCTCCCGGAATTTTAAACATGCAGGGTTCGTATATATATATTGGCATTATCCTGTTCCATTTGACACTTGATTGAGACTAATAAGTTTCGATCATTAACTTTGATTGTCGAAATCTTGAGTCAATGGAGGAGAAATCAGAACTGGAAAATGAACTGATGCGCTCCACTTCTCCAAAACCGAGTGTACCGAATGGATCTAAAGGAAACGAGTGTGAACAACGCGAGACCAGAATAACGAAAGAGAATTTGTACATGGTATTAGCGCTTTGGATGGAAGAGTTTCCGGTCGTGGAACAAACAAGCAGTGCCAAACGACTTAACAAAGTCGGTGTAGTGTTCGTATTGCCAACCGATCGTGTCTTGGCTGCCGACTGTAGTCGCGATGGCGTCCACGGAGTCGCCCGTGTTATGGTTAACCACTGTGGAAAGCTTGAAGGTTGTAAAGTGTTTGTATCCCGGAAGCCTTGTTCCCTTTGTGCTAAACTCCTTGTACAGTCAAAAGTTTCTCGTGTGTTCTACCTACCAATAGAACCAGAATCAGAAAACAAAGGAGAAATAGCAAGAGCGGATAACCTCTTCAAAAACAGTTCCGTCGGTCAATCCGTGTTCGTTCCTTGCGTTGAACAAAAGGTTTTGGACAAACTCGAGGACAAGTTACCGAAAGAAATAATAACACCAGATGACATCAGCGAATGTCGCGATAACCTCTTGAAAAAATGCGGGTGGAGCGCCGAGTGGTTTGCTCGCGCCCAGGCAAGTCTTCCTTGGCCATGCTTTGAGGGCAAGATGAAATCTCAGGTTGACAACGATTTCAAATCCTTGATAAAATGGATCGCCGTTGTCAAGGCCCCTATGGACAAAGGTGTTGCTTTCCCAAAGGTTAAGCTTACGTCTGACTCTCGTGTCGTTCCTGATTGCGATGCTGACAACTTTCCAGACTCTAAAACAGCTTACCACATGATGATTTTTGCGAAAATGCTTGCTAGACAGACAGATGACCCCAAGACTGGTGTAGGAGCTGTCATTGTTAGAGGTAAAGTTCCAGATATCGTGTCTCTGGGTTGGAATGGCTTCCCATCCAAAGCATTGTATGGCGAGTTTCCAAGAGCTTCCGATGACGACCGTGCGCTTCAAAAAAAGTTTCCCTATGTTATCCACGCCGAGCAAAACGCTCTGATGGTAAGGAATGTCAAGGATTTGACAGACGGAATCCTGTTTGTTACCAAGCCTCCATGTGATGAATGTGCTCCAATGATCAAGCTTAGTGGCGTAAAAACCATCGTAATCGGCGAGAAAATAGAGAAGAGTCGAGGCGGAGAACTGTCCTACAACCTGATTAAAGAGTACATTAAAGAAGGGATCATGACCTGCTATCAGATGGAGGCCACAAAAACAAAAGCAAAGCGTCTGGCTTCTGATCCAGAAACAAGGAAAAGACTGAAATCGAGCTGCTCGAATTCAAATGATGTTTGAACGTTTCGAAGAAATCTGTAAACATTGGATGATTCATAACAACATAAATAACTAGGATTTCCTTCTGGTTGAGGGAGATTATTTTGTCATTGATTTGGGTAACTTGTACTCTAGAAAAATTTAACCAGTTCCAATCAAGGAAAATTGCCCGATGTTTACCTAACCAAAGAAATTTGATAATTTCAATTTTATAACTTCTCATACCGTCGAAGAATGTCTAGTTTCAATATCGACAGAAGCATTGTTGAGCAACTACACTTGTCTGTTATGGTTAACATTTGTCTGGCTTGAATATTTAAAAATTTTATAAAACTCTATTTGGTTCTATGCCTGATGTTCGTTATCCTGATCTAAAACTAAAAAACAAGTTTACATGAAATTCAATGCGAGAGTTTCATATCAGCTGCATACTTTTAAAACGAATATCTCTGGATCTGCGGCTAAGAAACAGAACAAAACTTTTTACTCAATTAACTGTATTAATATATTTTTGTTGTTTTTGTTTTGTTTTAAGTTTGAAAATATTGTATAATTTTGTACACCAAGAAAGGATAAGGTATAGCATTACAGTGGCTACAGATGCATGGATATTTACTAAATAGAGGAGACGACTGTATTATATTAGGATGGTTGTGATATCAACTGTAAGGAATAGTTTTTACGAACAAAATTAGCATTCATTTCAATAAAGCTGTTGTCCAACTATCCACCGAATTAATCAGAGAGACTACTCTAGTGAAATATCATGGCTCTCCATCCTTTTCACGAAGACCATTTGTATAATTCAATTTCATTACAGTGTAGTTATTATGATTTATTCATAGTAATCTTTTTTACCGTTCTTACGAAATGAAAACAAAGCCTAACTCAGGATGGAAGCCGTTTCTTACACGTTTCGCTCCATAAAATTCTTTTCGTGGAGGTTCTCTGACCTCCACCTCTGTTTCTGGTCTCAGGAGTCTTTTGGTGTTTGGGCGTCAAATTTCATTGCTTCTCACAGCCCGATTGCATTTCTTACCACTTTGGTTTCAAAACTCGAAATACCGGGTGAGCTGACAAGCTCTTAAGGTTCAAGGCTTGCCATTCTTGTGCTCAATTCTCCTTTCGCCCGTGCACCGTATTAGAAGGACATAAATTCTTGAATTTTTCGTCATATGCTCCCTACAGAAACTTAATAAAATTGGTAATGGTAGTTTGTGAGTAATGGGAGTCATGCATATTCCTTCTGTTCAACAGCTCAAGAGAAATCCTTGTTGGTTTTCCACGCTTCTTTTCCCAAAATTGACCATACAACACGGCAGTTAAGTAAAACAAAGGATCTTATTCAGCCTTAAGTCAGTATGAAGACAGAGAAATAAACTCATCCCCTCAAATGAGCGTGCCCCCAAAAAGAAATCGTATTCCTAACCTTGAATTCCCGAGTCCGTTCCAGACTTTTAATTTACCCGTCTTGCAAAGCGGCATAGGCTTCGATTTCATTCCCCAATTCCTTTGCGGTCTGTTCCTCTTTAATAGCACGTGTTGGGTCGAGTATCGCCTCGCTTTGTTGGTGGTTGCGAATTTCGCTTTCCTCGAGGACCTATGCTTTGACTGTTTAGTAGAACTGAATTTTTCAATGTTAAGGTACAACACTATCCATTACATCATTCGTCTTGCAAGGTTGAGCTGAGCGTAGTCGGCGTTTAAAAAAGGGGAACATGTAATTTGAACCATGAAGTCATGGATGAGGTTTTCACTTGAAAATTCCACCGTGATGACTAGAATAATCCCAGCTCGCTTTGAGTTTCTTTACGGAAACGTTGAAGAAAAAAGCATTCTCAAATTTTTCTCGTCTGAGTGGAATAATTGTTTATTTGAAGGTCGAGAGTGTTTCAAGAAGCTCATGGTTGATGTAAATTCCACGTACGTTCTAATGTCAATCCATTTTTTAATAGATTGCGAGAGTTTGGTGTTGATGACGGTTACAGAATGGTTCAGGAAATACTGCACAATCTGGAACTTTTTTTGCTGTCTAAACAAACTAAGGTATCACATGTAGAGAGGTTTGGTCAAATTTTTTCCTGAAGCAACGGGAATTATTCACACGTGCTGGACGCGCGTGGGGGTGCTGCTGTACATTCGAGTGGTACCGTAGCATCTCGTGTTACTTGTTGTTGGGTTGCCTCTAACCCAATGATGTTCTTGAAAACCTTTCTTAGTTGCAATTTGGAATTAATGCGTTTTAACTTGAAATCTAATGGATTATCTAAGAGTTTGTGTTGTAATTCTTGTTGTAGCTGTTTGGGTAGTTAATATGTCTGACTCATTACCAGAGTGCATTTTCTCACTCTGGCATAAGGTAATAATATTTTTTAGTTTCACTGCCGTTTGTTAGTTATTTCTTTTTTTGTGGTGATTGAAGTGGTTTAGTTGTTGGGGAAACCACTGTGATGACTCGAATAATCCCAGCTCGCTTGGAGTTTCACTACAGAAGCATTGAAGAGTAAAATATTCTCTGTAACACAGTCTGAGTGGTTTTCCTTGAATACAATTTTACTAGGATTTTATTTTGGTATAGTTTGTCATCTGAATTGTTTATTTTTTAAGCCTGTTAGTAAAAATGATAAGGGAAATTAGTGCCCCAACCTCACTTATGGTTTTCTTATTTTTTTAATCATTCATATTTTCATCAACTGAGTTGATGATGTATACTGGTTACCATAAATAGTTTCTAAAGCTGTCATTTTGTGTGTCATCTCTGCATCATAGCCCTTTTTCAAAGCTTGGATTGTCACCTTAAAGAAACTTTGTGGTAGTCAACTTACATTATCAACTCAGTTTATAAAACCAAACAACCTTGCAATATTTCTTCCCCCCACCAGCCTAACACCATAGTTTCTTTTGAAACTTTCCCCTCTTATATTTAAAACTTTTTTCAACCATTCTCCTTTGTGTTCCAGATTTAAATCAACTTTACCTTGGAGACACCACCAATCTCACATTGTACTTTACTTGCAATGAGGTAACCATCACATTCTGGTGAACCTTATCGAGAATTCCTTTTAACTACTATAACAAGTATTCTATGCTGTCAATGAAGAACAATACGACAAGCATATGACTGAATGCTTCTGTTGAACTTTGATTATCAGAGACAGCATCACATAGTTAATGAAACAATTGTATTGTGTCTGTGCACTTTGTTTCAAGTGTTGTGAGTACAAAATTAGAGATAGGAGGTAGACAGTATCCATGTAAGTGTTATGCCTTTTGTTGAAATCATAGTTGTTACTTTTATTACTTTTAGAACTGAAAATTAATGAGAAGCATTCTTTGGCTATGTGGCCTCTGAAATTGAAACTGTTCAAGCTTTTAACAAAGGGTGCTATTTTCTCCAAAGACCATCAATGCAAGGCTTTTCCTTTGTTAGAGAAAAATTTATGCTGATGAATAGTAGGAAAACCTTCCATGCATTCACTACAGTGTATAAAAAGAGGCTTAGCAAATTTTACTCTTGATCCGAAATGGATTTGGTATGTTGTGAATCCAGCCTTAGATACACAGTAGTCAATGATGCTAGAATTTGTTGGATTTAAGTTTGATTTGCATGATGCAATACTCTTGTCTTGACTTCTTCAAGAAACATTGAGCTTATACCTCTTTAATTATACTTAGAAAGATGGACCAGTGAGATTTTGTTGTGTTTGTCTTAGGATTTGGTCAACCAAGATAACTGTCCTTGTGGGGTTGCCGCCTTGTGATGCAGTACAAAGGTTTTTATGTAAGTTGTTTACACTGAGCATGTTTAGTTGTCTTGATTTGGTACCATTTTTGTAACCCATGTAAGGTTATGTGTTTGTCATGTGATGAGATATTTCACAGACCTGTTCTGATTGTTTGTGAGGAATGTGAATATGTCTACTGATGATAAACTTTTTGCACAATGTAATTCTCCAATTATGATTGTATTTCAAATGAATGATTTAAATTGGAGGGAAATTGAAGTATCAAAGTTGTGATCAAGTTTAATTTTGCAATTGACTGCAAGAGAAGGTGGTGTTGGTTTTGTGAACCAATCTTAGAGCTCAAGGCAAAGCAAAATTAGTGTATCAGATTATTGTTAAGTGGTTTCAATTTTACCTCAAGCAAGTAATTCTCAGGTCTCATTTATAAAAAATGAAGAGATCTTTGCATTTTTTCTTCTTTCTCTATAAAATTTATTTGCATCCACTACCCTCTGCTACAGCAGATCTGAAAATGGTTAAGGGTGATTGACAACAAATTCCCAACAGAAGGAAAGCTGAAATGTGCTTTGGTTCAAGAGGAAAGTCAGTAAGGTAGCTCTGAAAGGTGTGTTTATTCTTGTTGAAATATAAATAAATTAATGCTAACAAATGTAAAATATGTCCAGCTTAAACCCACTGTATAAAGCAGATGTAATCTTAATCTTGATATGCCAGCATACATCACCTATATTTTGAGGAGTCCTTCACTGTTGATAAAAGACTCAAAATAACACGGACTGTTGCAACATTTGTGCCATTTTCTTTTCCATGACAAGACATAGTCCATGCTTTTGTGATATTTTACATTCTTATTAGCCTTAAAAATTCTCTATCATCACACTTTATTGTAGTGAATTCTTGTTTCTATCAATGTACGTGTACATGTACTTTGGAGTAAGAACATTGTGATGGGCAGTGAAGAAATGATGTCTCGTTCGTATGAACATCTGATTAAAATAACCTCGCAGAGCTCTCACAATATCAGCTTTTATTTTCATAGTAAATAGTATGGAAAGGGGAAAAAATTAACCAGTATGTTTTTTCTATTCCTCAGTTAGGATGAACAGAATATTTTATCAGGTTTGAACATGTCTTATTTCATTTGTACAATAGTTAAATCATCTCCACAAACTCAGCTTCCAATTTTATTTACATTGGGTTTTGTTTTGTTGTTTGCTTTTGATTTTTTTTTCTTTCTTCATGTTTGTCTTGGGAAATCTGTCTTTAATTTCTCCTGGATCTGTCTTGTTGTTATTGTTAGTGCTTTGTGGTTTCACATCTTACCAAACTTGTATTGTGGGACTCTTTGCTGGTTGTTACTCCTGTTGACAAGTCTGGGGTCTTTTGGAGAAAAACTGCTTTTGAACAAGACAACTATATTTACACAAGAAAATGCCTTTTAATAAACTTAAAGGCACAAAATCTTTAAAATACTTGAGTACACAGATATAAAATAACCTGTATGAAGATGTAATTTTGTTGAGGTGCTTTTCTTATTAGAGTGTATCAACAGAATATAACAAATATTTGGGGATACTTACTTCTTTATCTATTCTTTTGTATTTTACAGCATGAAGGTGAAGGAAATCCATATAAAGCATAAGAGTATTCACTCTTTTAGGGGCAGAATGAAATCCAGTTCTAGTCTTTGGATATTTTTCTTCATGATCCTTATTCAAACTTATTCATTATTGTCCATTCTTAGTGTTAGAAAATTGTTTCAAGGTTAGAAAATAAAGAATATCTCTGAAAGAGTTTTTGCTTACAATAAAATTTTTTTAATGCTTACAATACAACAACAGAGACATGTGAGAACTTCTTAAGCGTGCTAAGTTACCTACGCTTCATAATAGATGCTTACAGGACATAGCAATACTAATGTATAAAGTAAAGAATGATCTAGTACCTAGCTACATATCTGAGATATTTACTCGAAAAGGTACTCGTTATAACCTAGTGACTAAAAATAGTGACTTTGAAATACCACGATTTAATACTATACGCTATGGTAAACACACACTTAGGTATCAAGGATCATATATCTGGTCCAAATTAGAAAATGGTATGCGTGAACTACCAAGCCTTAGCATCTTTAAAACTAAAATCCGTAGAGTTGACCTGGCCAGCCTAGTGGAAGACAGTGGCAACTGCTGCCATCTTTGTAGCACGTGATTTTTTCTAATTATATGCATTGTACAAGTATTTTTATGTTATCTGAACATTGTTAATATTTCTAAATATTTTTAAATTTTAATGCATAGTTTATCGGCTATATTGTTACTTATTATGATACTGTACATAGTTTTTTATTAATTTTGTAATAGTAGGTGTCCCCAATTAGCTCTATGAGCTAAATACATTGACATGGTAATAAAGATTTTATTATTATTATTATAATCTTAAGCAAATGGTTGTTTGGTCTTCTATCTTATCAACCTTTGTTAAAAATTACTTTGCTTATTTTGCAAATATTCAAGAGTCATAAGTGGTTGGATAGTGCATTTTGTTTGGAAAGGAGAACATTCTCAATTTTGATGGCCCATTGCATTTGTAGAATGATATAAATATAACTTCAGGGTACAAAAAAGTATCTGGTTTGAAGTAACTAAGCTTTCTATTGCTCAACAAAAGTCTTAAAGCTCTCTTTTACAATGTGTCTTATGAAAGTGGAATGCAAAGTACTGGTAGACAACTGTGCTTGATCAATCTCCACTCCATAGAAAGCAGATTCAAGTGAAGATGACTTTTAGCCCCTTAGGTTAAAGAATATACTCCTTGTTATTCCCACTGAAAATTTGTTGCAACGTTACAATTTTTCTACTGTGGTCTCAAGGTGACACATCATTAGTCCAATACTCTGACCAGCGGAATGGTTTGAGAAATTCTTAGCCTGATATTCTAATCACAGGTTACTACAATTCGTGGTGGGATTTTTGTTAAGTGTGTCGGGAAATTAAATGAGTTCTTTCTGACGAGCGCTTGGAATTGATGTCGATGGGTAAACATTCCCTTTCCGGTTCCCTCGCCAACCCTCTTCGGCCTTAATAGAGTTGGTACGATGTGGGATCATTACACAACGTCCTTACCAAACAAAAATGGCGGATGGGACGTCTTTGAAGAAAGCATCAAAAAGTGAACTGTTTTCGTGGGTAAGAAAGGCGTAATTGACCTTAAATGTAACTGCAACCAAAAGCAAACAAGGAATTACAATCAAATTATTTGCATCGTGGTATTTAGGGGGCAAACAGCTATGGACAACTTTGTTGTGGCCACAAGAACGATGTCTCATTTCCGGAAAACGTCGGTGCAAGTTGTCACCTAAAAAACAGTGTTGTAGCGGCGATAGACGGAGGTGGAGGACATACAGCAATTATCACAGGTTATGTACTTGGAGTTTTTCATAAGTGTTCTGATTTTGTGATCTGGAAATGTTTTTTTGAGGCCATTACCATGTAACCTTTTAACTCCTGCACTGTAAGAGTGACCCAGCATCTTATTTCCCTTTACAGTGATGCTGTTCAGTGATTTACTAAGATCATGAGCGTAAAGGAAGTGATCGCCAAGCTGTGATTGTTGAACAACTTGTCCTTATTAGTACCAAATAAAATGTATTGGGAAGAGTGTAGAGAATATGGGTACTGATGTTAGGATGTAAAGGTTAAAGGAGCATGATTCCTTCAAAAGAAGACACGTCAGTTGTATTTCAGATCCTTTGATGACACTTTGGATTAAACGCCATTTTTTCTGGATTATGACCATTTAGGGAGGGAGTTTTTGAAATCACAGGACCTGAATCAGGTACTGTGGTAAACACCAAGTTAAGTACTAAGTTGGATCTTTCCATATTCTTCTTCTTGTAGATAATTTTGTGCATGTAATTCATCTGTAAGCAAGACGTCCACCCATTTTCTTTGTTGTTCAATGCAATTTTCTCTCTCTTTCATAGAGCGAGAGCCCACTGTGTTCCCAGCAAATGCTGGCCTAAAAGTAACGCTCTGCTCCTGTACCATACTTTTAACTGTGCTTTGGGGTAAATAAATAGCATAGTTGCATCCATAGTCCTTCATGGAAAATCACATATCATATCTTTAAGAAAGGAGAATCTGATGCCCAAAAATGAGTTTGTAGTTGCACAAGTAGATGTTAAATCCCTAAGTCAACTTGGTCAGCTCCAGAGCATTACTTATCACCATTTTTCTGATTAGCTTTATTTTTATTATTATTTCTTGCATCCTTTGCCTTTTGCGTTAATTTTCAATAAAGTCTACAAGTCCTCAGCCTCTACGTTCGCTATGAATGATCAACTAAAAAGGTTCAAAGTAAAAATGAAGGAATGGTAAGGGGCCAGCTTAGTTGGCTTAGTTGAGTTGCGGTCAGCTAAGCATGTTGCCAGCAGAAAACAACCATAATGTAAATTTCCTTCTGGGTTGGAAACCAACTGTTTGAAGGTGCTTCTTTGTTTACTTGTTTTTATGATTGCGCCATGATTGAAGGAAGTTTTGCATGGATTGAAATGTCCTTGTGTGATTTTTCCTTCCTGTAAGATAAAATCGGTGGCTGTTTAAAAGATATGTGTAAGTCTAGGCTGCTGTTGAATGGTGTGCCAGTTTTTCATGAGAACGTTTTTAAGATTCGATATGGCTGTATTATAAGTGGTAACAAATGGTAAAATTTCTTTCACCTTCTTTGTTTTGTTACGAAGGGTCTTTGTTGTGATGGAGAACTGAACTTCAGAAAGGATTTTATGAACAAGCGTCATAGGATAGTCTCTGTTACAGAGTCTTTGTTGAAGATCTTGTTTGTGTTTGTCAAAATTCTCCTTACTAAGTTGGTTCTTAAAAGACTTAGTGCTTCTCCTTTGATAAAACCCCTTTTCATATTAAAAGGGTGGCAGGATGAGAAGTGTGTACACTGAAAAGTTTCAGTGGGTTTACAGTGGGATTGTGAATTGAGAATTTTAAGAGTTGAAAAATGGGGTCCTTTGAATATCTCTGTGTCAAGAAAAACATTTCATCATTTGTGTGACATTTCTATCTACCTACCTTCAATAAAATGACAAGGTTGTGCTTAATCTCATCCAATAATTGTTTTAAATTATTT